GACTGTCTACATTTTACTGCATTTTTAATTGAAAACAAGCCATAAAAATGTTTTAAATTGGGGTTAAAATTGTGCGTAAACTGCGGAAAGTTCATGTTTTAGTTCAAGTACTTTGTATTGACTCAGTCATTACCAAGTATCGGTTGTCGTCAGAGTGGTTGACTAGATTATTGTTGAGTTGGTCATATCCTGGTATATTTCTTGAAAGATGGCATTCAAGTACTATCATGAGTAAAACAGTTTCATAGAAATAGTCCCCACCGAATATGTAAATATAAAATTCTATTTATTATAAAAGAAGCCGTTTTTAATTCTTTCTTTTTCATTTGTAAACTTTTGTTTCATACTTCTCACTTGATTAGAATTTTGGTTGTAAGGGAGATAATTTTTTGGTAATTTTTCAAGAGTTATTTCCCTTGAATAGAAATACCCGGTTTTTACAGGAAATGGTTTGGTGTTACATTTTTATAGCCAGAAATACAAATGTTTAATCTCAATTCTTCGTAGAAATTATAACAACACTTTAATTAATATTTATAAGCAGGGCACTAATTAATTAAGCGTTCAACCTCAAAATGTCAGATTTACAAAAAAATATTTTTGAAAAAAATATATGAAAAATTATTTTGTCATCAAAATATCTAAAATCAGAATAACTATTTTCTGAAATAAATTAATTGCATTCTAACCTGAAAAAATGTTTTATTGCTCGAGTCTAAATAATAATAATAATAATAATAATAATAATAATAATAATAATAATAACATATAACGAAGATGATGGACGGCTGGAGACACGAAGTTTTGTGAAATACCTAGGAATATAAAAGGCAAAGATTAAAGAGTATTAAGACAATTACAAAATATATACCCTGATGTGATATGTTAAGTATTTATATTTACTGAGTTTAACGGCGTTACGAAAAACAGGGGAAAATAACCTACAAAAATATATCACGGTACGTGCCAATAAATGGCAAAATTGAAAAATATTCTGTCTAACGAGGTTCGTCCTATCGAAGGGCTTCATTGGACCAAAGTAAAGTTTTTGTTGATTGAATTCTGTGTAGGGAGAAAGAGAAGTGGGAAGACATAAAATCGTAGGCATCGTTTTGCAAGGAAATGCTGAAAATGTCGGAACGCTAAAATTTTAATTTATTATTTTTGGAGGTGTCTGGGCACATAGTCTAGACGATTTAATTCAGGGTCGTTTTTTTTTTTTTGTTTTAGATATTCTCTCTCTTTCTCTCTTTTTCTTTCTCTCTCTCTTTTTCTCTCTCTCTCTCTATATATATATATATATTTATATATATATATATATATATATATATATATATATATATATATATATATAGAGAGAGACAGACAGACAGACAGACAGAGATAGATAGATAGATAGATAGATAGATAGATAGATAGATAGATAGATAGATAGATAGATAGATCGTTTCCCTCAAGCAAGATGATAATGTCGCTCAGATACAACTAAAGATGGTTAGGTATTTTATATTTTTTGAAGAACGTGGGTGTCAAGGAAGCAGGACATCGGAAGAGAGTTCAGCAGGCGTGTAGAATTGTTAGAAAATAAACTAATAGCATCTGCCTAATTCAACAATAAAACACTGAAACCTAGTTGTCAATCTTGTGGCACGCTCAAATTCGTGTGGTCGAGTTACCAGTTATGAAATCATATTAGAACAATTGTCATGACAAGAGAGAGAAGTCAAGATGACATTTCAAGACCGATAACAGTACAGACCTATCTTCTGGTTTTGATGAGAGTCTCGATGAGAATCTCGAGATATATAGCAGTGATAGAAGACCAATCATGACAACCATATTCAATGCACGGTAGACTGGTATATATATATATATATATATATATATATATATATATATATATATATATATATATATATATATATATATATATATAGTTAGTTAGTTGTTACACATTACTGGTGTAAGCGGTGGCGAAATGTATTATGTTTATATATATAATGTATATATATATATATATATATATATATATATATATATATATATATATATATATATATATATATATATATATATATATATATATATATAAAATGAATGAATGAATGAATGAATGAATGCATGCATGCATGCATGCATGCATAGGAGGCACAGTGGAGTAATGGATAGCGGCTTGAATGAGGAATCGGAGAGCCGTGTTCGAATTCCATTTGAATTCATTACACTCACTTTACGTGCTCATACTCTTGGGAAAGGCGTGAATTCTCTTCTTCTCCCTCCAGCTATGCATTGGGTTCTATAGCCTTGGATGGCAACTGGTCTAGAAGGACAACTCTGAATTCAAAACCGGAGTGGTACCCCTAACGCGGATGGACTTTGTTCTACCTTCCGGCAAATCCTGCAGCCGCGCTCTTTTGGACTCTGCTAGCAAGCCCTAGTTCTTCATATATCCCGCCCAGGCTCGTAGCACACTCCATCATCTCCCAAAGCCAGACGGATGCCGACGATATATATATATATATTAGAGGAATATTACGTGCTAGAAAGCCAAAATGGAAAAAACTCTAAACCGATTTGTTTCGTCCGGTGCAGGGTTTTCTTTAGAAAATTATCTGCATAGGGGCAAATAAATACAACAAACAATGGTTAAAATTTTACATTGAAAAACATTAAAACGACCGAGAAACATTCAGATTTAAATTTAAGTATTGATGTCCAGAGAATCTAGACATTTAATTTTTCCGTTTTCTTTTAGCTTTCTATCACTTTATTTTTAGTTAATTATTCATTTTTATCGATATTTTTATCGGCCTTCTTTTTAATTATCCCGCCAATTATCAGTTGTTATTTTGGTTGATGCCACGTTGAAGAATATAAATATATTAATAAAAAATATATATATATATATTGCCCTTCGGCTAACTGCTGTAGTTCATTGCCTGCTTAAATCTGTTTACATCCATTGGTTGGTCTCCGGAAACGTTCAGCAAACTTCAAAGAATTGCAATTTTTCCACAAAGACAAATTCAAAGATGGCTACTTTTTTTATACACACGTTCATGTCAGGTGTCCTTCTGCCAAAGAACAACTAAATTTCCATCTGTAACAAGGCGCCTAAAATTGTATTTTATTTTCGGAAATGTATATCCTTTATATCATTAATATCCGCTTCTGATGTCGTCGGCTAATATTATAAAATAAGAAATAATAATTTTGTAGCGATGCGTAGATGTATTTATTCTGGTTTTAATTAAATATATATATATATATATATATATATCTATCTTTGTGGGTAACGGGAATCTCTTTCGTTCAGTTCGTGCTAATGCCTTTGAAAATATAGACTTGAAGAAATAAAAGCGTTATGTGTACTGTCTTAAGGATTTCATTTGATTTCGAGGAGATTAAAGTAAGAGAGAATATAAAACGAAGAAGGCTGTTCGTAGATTCCGTGTGATATTGTGTACCATTTATTTATTATTAGTTCTGAATAAAATTATATTAAAGCTAATGAGACCTCATATTTCGAAATCCACAGGACAAGCGACAAGCTATGTCACACACACACACACACACAATGAGAGAGAAAGAGAGAGAGTGAGAGAGAGAAAGAGAGAGAGTGATAGAGACGCACGCACACACATATGTGGGGTGTATGTGTGCGCATTTCTTTGAAGTTGTAAGTAGTCGTGTATCTGTTTTTATTTCAGAGTTCAGTCACTTGTTTGCTGGTTAATACGATTTCTCTTTCAATTAGAGAACATCAGAATATGCTATTACTTTCTTAAATTTAAGCTATAGGACCCTTCATCTAACAAAAACATGAATATCACAAAATTTTTACTCAATCTTTATTTTTTTTTTTTAAATCTTTTCACCTGATGCGAGACAGTAAAATTACTGAGTGTGAAAGCAAAAGAGAAATATTATTTAAGGAGCGAGAACAATATGATAGTAATCAAGAAGACAGTAGATAACGAGTGATTTTACATTTAAACGTTTGAAGATCAAAGATGGCGGAAGAGCAAGAAACCGGAAGAGAGTTCCACAAGCAAGAAGTGTGATAAAAGAAACTGTTAGCATAAAACTTACGGTCGCATCTAATCATTTCAACTGTAAACTGATGAGAATTTGTTGCTAATTTACTAGTGCGCCTGAAATTCATAAAGTCTAGGTACCAACATATTTATAGAAATGCCACAGAGAAGCTACATTACGAAGTTTGGAAAGGGACTGAAGCCGCAATGCTAGGTCAGGACCAATAATATTGCTGATTCGATACACTATTTAACTTCTCCGACTATTGTCCTCATCTTTGTCGCCATATTTATCACAACGAATCGGCCATTGTACACTCCGGCCTTCTTCAGGTGGTTGGAATGTCGAACCTGGAGAAGGCCGAAACGTTGTGATAAATAGGGCGACAAAGATGAGGTCAATAGCCCGAATAATGTAAATAGTGTACATAATACCTCATCTCAGAAATATAGACATACTGAAGGACTGAAACGTTGTGATAAATATGGCGACAAAGATGAGTAGAATAGTCCGAATAATGTAAATAGTGTAAATAATACCTCATCTCAGAAATGTAGACATATACTGAAAGGCCAAAACGTTGTAATAAATATGGCGGCAAAGATGAGGACAATAGTCTGAATAATATAAATAGTGTACATAATATCTCATCTCATAAATATAGACAGATATTGCTGATTCGATTTCGTCAAGAATCTCTAAATATACAGCAGGCGGACTGCACCATATGCGGCAGCAATATTCTAAGCGTGGACTTATAAATTTAGTAAGATAAATTCTAGGCTCTTAACTCTAATTTGAGAATACACTTTGAACGGGATTTAAATGTGAAATAAAATAGTATTAATAGATAATCAAACATAGATGCTTCCAGTCTTTTACAAGAATTCACAAAACATGCTGAGATCATGGCGTTAACAGCCAAGCATAACGACTCTAACATAGCCAGTTTCTTCAAAGCTATGTCTTTCCTGATCAAGCTCAGGAATGAGTTGAGAACATCTAACGGGGATGTGATATCCGTGGCAAAGTGAAAAAAAATGCGCTAAGAGAGCATACATCGTAAGAGTAGCCACTTTGGGTTGAGATTGATTTTACATTTAAAACGAAGGAAAAATGCCTTCGAACGAGTGAAGGTCATAGGGAAAATCGTTCATCTTCGAAACTTGTGGA